TGGTGGGGCTCAGAGCGCGTGCAACAAAAAAGTGGTGTAGGTTATGTGCACCACGTCGAGTAGCCCACCTCCCTCATTGTCTCATCTCATTCGCCGTTTCCGTAGTCGTTGTTGATCGTTGTAGTTTAGTCGTCGCTCGTGGCGTCGCTCTCGTCGCTGTGCTTCTTGAGCTTCTTCTCCTCGGGCTTGAGGCTCTTGCTCAGGCCGCTGGCTTTCCGGCCCGAGGCGCTGTTCCTGGTGAGGTTGTTGCTGGAGCTGCGCTTGGACGGCACCGCGGAGCTCGATCCGCTGGCGGCGCCGTTCTTGGCGCTCTCGTCGTCGCTGCCGTCCTCGCTGTGCTTGAACTTGGCCATCATCTTGGACTTGAGCTGCTGGGGAATGTGGGCCAAGTCGCCCGCCGTAACGACGTGCTCCTCCCACTCGTCCGGGTGGGCGTTGCCCGCAGCTTGGCCGTGGTAAGGGTGGCCGTGGACCAGCTGGAAGTGGAGCGAGAGCTTGTGCTTGAACAGGAAGATCTCGCCCTTCATGACGGAGCGGACGACGATCTTGAGGATGTCCATCACGGGGAACCTACACACGCAAAAGCAAAGGCCCGGTCGTTAGCCGAGGCGTCTAGGCGTCTAGGAGAGAGGAGGTGGACAGTGAGTCGTGCGTACCAGATGATGCACCAGATCCAGCCGACCAGCACATACCACCAGCCAGCGCCCTCGAAGTCAGTCTCCTTGTCGTCGGGGAAACCGTTCAAACCGTAGGCGCACTACACCATCGTTGGAAAAAAGAGAGAAGAGAAGCCGGTAGGTCAGACATGTGGTACACGACGGGCAGTCACTCACTCACCCCTCTCCAAACCAGCCCTGCGAGCGAAAGCGAAAGCGAAACGAAACGCACCAGGATAGTGGCGGCAGTCTGGGCGATGATGAAGGCAATCACGGGAGCGAGACCGGGTCGCTCTCTCCAGAAGAGCCACGACAGGCCGTGCGTACGCGTCACGAAGACGGTCGAGAGACCGGAGACGGACACCTATTAGGGAGGGGGAAGCTCGGTTAAGAGGGCGGTTTCCTTGCCGCAGTAGTGATGGTAGGTAGAGTACCTGGAGGTAGATGAGGCCGCGGGCTTCGGCGGCGGTCAAGTGGGGCAGGCCGAACCAACGCTCGAAGCTGTCGGTGTAGACGGCGAGATGGAAGAGCACGATGGTCGAGATGGTGAGGTAGGTGCCCAGGACGATGGCCGTGCCGAAGATCTCCAGCAGGTTCCAGTGCTCGGGCTCCTTTGAAGGCTGCGCGTCGTGGGAAGAAAAGAGGGGGGGGGAAGAATTGAGGTCAGTGTGTGCGATGGCGGTGGCGGTGATTGTGCGGAATGCTGTGACGGCGACGAACCTTGACTTTGTCCTTGGAGATGGTCAACATGGAGCCGTCGTTGAAGATGGCGAGGAGCACGCAGCCGATGGTCGGGAAGTACCAATCGTAGGCCAGGGTAAGGATACCGAACGTCAACACGATACGCACGCACACTGAGATCGAGTACATGCAGTAGTTCTGTACACACACGCACACAACAAGAAAGGGTTAGAAGTGTTCATGTTGTGTGTGTGTGTGTGTGTGTGTGTTGTGTGCGTGTCGTGTCGTGTCGTGCTGTGCTAGACATACCTTCATGCGCTGGAAAATCTTGCGGGAACCGAGGATGGCGTCGACGATGACGGACAGACCTTCTTCTGCGAGCACGATGTCCGAGGCACCGCGCGCGGCGTCGGTGGCTCCCGACACGGCGATACCGATGTTGGCCTTCTTGAGGGCGGGCGCGTCGTTGACACCGTCGCCGGTCATGCCGACGATGCGGCTGCCGCGCTGCAGGTACTCGACGATCGTGTACTTGTCCTCGGGGAACACCTCGGCGAAGCCGTCGGCCTCGCAGACGATGTCGTAGATGCTCATGCCGGTCTCGTTGCGGGCCTTGGCCTCGTCCTTCATGTAGGCGGCGGGGAAGATGTTGCTGCCCATGCCCAGCAGCTTGGCCGTCTCCTTGGCGATGGTCAGGTGGTCACCGGTGATCATCTTGACGCCGACGCCCAGGCCCTCGGTCTTAGCGATCATGTCGGCCGTGTCGTCGCGCGGCGGATCGAACATGGGGATGAGGCCGGTCATGGTCCACTTCTTGCCGTGCTCGTCGGAGATGGCCACGCCGAGGGTTCGGTAGCCGGCCTTGCCGAGGGTCTCGATGTCGGCCATGACGCGGTCCTTGATCTTCTTCTTGTTCTCCGACAGGTTGAGGATCACCTGCGGCGCGCCCTTGGTGGCGTGGAAGATCTCGCCGTCGGGGCTCTGCAACTTGGCCACGGTCTTCTTGCCGACCGGGTCGAACGGGTGGAAGTGGAGCACGTTGAACTTCTTGCGCTGCTCCCTCTGCTCGTCGGTCAGGTAGCCCACCATCGCTGTACAGCGCAGCACCGCGGACAAATCGAGTGTGTGTAATGTGAGCAAGCAGAAGAATTCCAGAAAAATGTTTGGAATGCGCGTATACCCATGTCGATCGCGTCGCCGTTCTCGGGCTTGGCGGCGAGGGCCGCGTCGAAGATGACGTCGGCGAGGTCGCCCACGTAGGCCACGGGGTCCTTGACGGAGAGCTCGTTCTTGGTGAGGGTGCCGGTCTTGTCGGAACACAGGATCTCCATGCCGGCGATCTCCTCCACGACGGTGAGACGCGACACGATGGCCTTCTTCTTCGCCAGCGCCGAGGCGCCCAGGGCCATGGTGACGGACAGCACGGTGGGCATGGCAATCGGCAGACCGCCGACCACGAGCACCAGGATGTTGTTCAGCGGCGCGCAGTCGCCGTCGGACACACCGGTACAGGGCTTGTCGCGGATGGCGAACTGGGTGATGAGCTCGGCCACCACGCCGACCATGATGAAGATGATGCAGAAGTAGGCGATCGACTTCAGGACCAGGTGGATGTGCGACTTCTTCTCCGAGCGGTTCACCAGGTCAGCGGCCTTACCGAAGAACGTGCTCAGGCCCGTCGCGTGCACGATGGCCTTCATCTCACCCTGTTTGACTGTTGTTGTTGATGATGATGATGGTTGTTAGCACTAATGCGTTGGCGAGCGCAGCGGGCGACGGGCGTACCAATAGAACCCGAATAGATCTCGTCACCGGGGAAGCGATCCACGGGAATGGACTCGCCGGTGAGGGAGGACTGATCGATCTTGAGGGAGTCGCCGTCGTCGAGGATGAAGCAATCGGCCGGAACCACGTCACCCAGACGCAGCAGCACCACGTCGCCGGGCACGAGGCCGACGGACGCCGTGCCGGCCACGACCTCGCCGTTACGCAGGCACTTGCAAGTCGGGGCGAGCGCGCTCTGCAGCGCGGCCACGGCATTGCCGGACGAGTAGTCCTCATAGAAACCTGTGCAGTGACACCACACCGCATGTGCGCTAAGTACTTGGCCAACCCGAGTTGTTGTCGACATTTCGTGTAGCGGGAGGACACAAGGAGGAGGGAGGTGACCATACCGATGCAGGCGTTGAGGAGGAGGAGCGCGGTGATCAGAATGCCGTCCACGTAGTCGACCAGCACGAAAGAAAGGAGGGCCGCAAACTCCATCGCCCTGTGTGTTCACCACCAGCAGCAAGCACATAACACATAAATAAAAACATCCAAAAGAAGAAGAAGACAAGATTGTGAGAAAGAGTGACTACGTGTTCTTGAGGCAGGCGTAATTGTTTGTAATCTTAAAGAAAAAAAAATAAAGTGGATGGATCAACGCACCAGGAAAGAGGATTCCAGAAGAAGTACAAAAACTTGAGGATGAGACTCTCCTTCTTGGTTGGCAGCGCGTTAGGGCCGAACTCGAGTAGTCGTTTCTGCACAGTTAACAACAAATAAACAATTAGCGAACAGCAGTGGTTGCAACCAATCCCACCATACCAAAGTGACATTTCGCAAGTGATCTCAAGGCGTGAGGTCACAATCAATTGATTGATAAATGATTGATGCAAATTAAATTTGAGCAGGGAGATTAGGAGATAGTAGAGAGTTGGGGAGTGACATTACCGCAGCTTCTTCGTCAGTAAGGCCGTCGCGGGTGTTGCCAGCGCCCATGCCCGCAAGAACCTCGTCAACCCTGGTCGTGAATTTAGCGCTCCTAGCTGCCGTTTTGTCTTGCGGATTCTCGTCGTCGTGATCGGACGACTCTTCATCCGATGAAGACTTTCCCTTCTTCTTGTCCTTGTTCTTGCTGTGTTTGCCTTTCGACTTCTTCTTCTTGTCGGTGCTGCTCTTCGCCTGTTTCGTTTCGTTGTCGCTACTGAGGGAGGCCTCCTCGTGTTTCGGAGGCTCGTCCGAGTCTGAAGAACTCGACATCTCTGTGTGGGGTGGGTGGGTCAAGATCGCGCAAGTTGAAGCAAAGGCGGATCGATCAATGCCGGCTGTGGTCAAGGTGTGGTCGTCAGAGCGGGCTCACGCGACGGAGAAAAAGAAAAAAGAATCGAGGCTGATGTTCCGGAATTTCACCTTTATTTTTTCCACCCTAAAAATTCGGCATTGGTCGGTTTTTTGGCATTCCGGCACTCCGGCCGGGATGCTTGCGGATTGGATCGCAAGATTGTGCGCACGGCATTCTACGGAGCCTGGGAGCCAGGGACCACGGGCAGGAGCGGGCAACTGCTTCTTCTCTGAGCCAAGAAAGTCTTGGTCGCCAACACCAAGAGGGAAGGTGGCCAATGGTGCCGTGTTATTGATCGTAATTTTTTTGTTTTTTTTTGTTGTATACCAAAGCCCTCATTCTTGAATTCCCCAAAAGGAGAAGATTGCGGTTCGCTGCAAAAACATTCCAAACATGCTTCACATACCAATGTTTTTCTTCTTGCCATTTTCTTGCTGGCCGGCAGGGAAAAAGCCGGAAAAGTTCGTTGGGGCACAGCGTGACATCAACACAAACTTTGCGCATTCGCCAACGAGGAGCTGCAGACGTGGGCATCCTTCTGCTCACTTGGAAGCCACATTTAAATGGATCGTGCCCTCTCTACATGGGTTAATGATCAGCTACACGGCATCCTCGGATTTGCCGAGTCCTCCGTAGTGGACTATGTCATCGCTTTGGGTATGTTCCTCTTTCCACCGCCCTCTTCACTGCCAATTGTTATCCTTCATTCTTTCAGTTCAGCCCTGCTCGCAATTCCCCAATTACAATCATTACAAATTGCTCTCCATTTCTACACCACGATTCTATTTCGATTTTGTGGCATTACCATGCAGCGCGCTAACATCATCTTCAACCATTGCAGCGCGGAAGAGCAAAGACGTGGGTTCGCTGACGCGAGCG